TAGTTGTTATATGATCACAAATGGGAAGAAAAATAGCCTGAGCATTGGTGAATCAGAGATGAGGCGGTCTGCATAATCTCAAATGGGGAGAGAGATGTCCATGCGACACACTCTATGGGGATGTGCCTCACTGCAGGGAAAAGTTTGAAAACTCCACATCGGATACTTCAAGAAATCCTTTCTTGGTCCCAGATCTCTGGAAGTAACCTGAGTAACACACAGGATACCATATAACCAGGTTACCTTGCAGGGCAATTGCACCTCTCATGTTGTCTTCCTTTGAAAAGAATCAGAAAAACACATGGAGGAAAATCGGGTGACTGTAACAATACACTAATATGTGCTTTCTGGGTGAACAGTAGAAATTTGCTGGATCGTGCCCCAGGAGAACTTTCACTGCAAGAAGATTCAAGAGTACCAGGAAATTTAGCTAATGCTTGCAAAGGGAAATAACTCACCAGGGACAAGGGAAATCAAGGGAGACTGGGATCTAAATTACAAAACATACTGCCCTTGCACCTACAGGTGCAGTAAATAAACACATTTCTAATACCAAAGTAGAGATAAGCCAAGCTATTAGCTATTCATAGTCATCAACCAGGTGCCAGAAATCCCAGGTAGAGACATTGGGGCAAATCACAACACTTCCCCAAAAAACTGCCATGGGATCTAATGTTTACACCAAACAGACAGGACCTGGGTTTTTTACGGTTCTGCTCAAAATATCTACATGCAATACACTGTGAGGGGCTTAGGACCGCAGTCATTCCAGATGCTGAGCATCCTCAATTCCCTCTAGTGTTCAGCCCCTTGCAGATACCTTCCTTACCCTCCTCAAAAATCAAACAAAGGGCTGATTTAACCAATTCATCATCGGGGACACTATCTGCTTGCTGGATAATAAGTGCTAAGGATTAACTAGCAGCTATAATGAAAGGTAGCCTCGGTGCCAATACATCCAAAAGCAAAACACAATGATCAAACATTGCCCCAGCGACAGACATTGGCACATTTAAAACAACAGCTATTAACAAAGAGGAGAACATACGTACAGGCAACTTTAAGCCACTTTCTGGTGTCGGTAGCATTTTGTGTTTTTCCTCTTACCAGTGCATCTGCCACAGCAGCCTCCAGATCTGTGCTTGTACTCAGGACTCGCATGGCATTCACAGAAGCAGGCATCCTGCCTGGCTGTCCAAGTCCAAACCGGTCTGCACAAAAGACAACATTGAAAGAGATTGTTAAGTGAATTCACATTCATTCTGAATCCTAATAAGATGTCTGGCCAGGAATTGCTCAACGAAAAGGCTTCGGAAACCCACAGTACCATTTCATGAAATGGTATTTTATCCATCTCTCTGATGCATATTGCCGCTATCGTATGTAAAACAAAAATACTACAAACTACAGTATTTGGGCTACCAGAAACACAATGTTTGATTTTTATAGCGTTATTTTACTGATGTGAGATGTGTTGGAAAGGAATCTATTTTTCCTTTTATTTTCCTGTCTCTCTCTCGCTTTCTCTTTTTAAATTAACTCTCTCATTTTATTTTGGTTTCACGAGTCTCTCACATATGGGGCCCGATCCTGCTCTTGTCAAAAGCAACTGTAAAACTCTCCTTGACTTCTCTGAGGCAGAATCAGGTTTTCAGTTCCATTACTCTCTCATTCTAGTATGTGCTGATCTCGCAACTCTCTCATTCAAGCAGCCCCTACTCACAAGAGTCATTTGAAATCAAAACTGTGGGCTCTTAGGGTATATCTACACTAGCCCCCTAGTTCGAACTAGGGAGGTTAATGTAGGCATTCGAAGTTGCAAATGAAGCCCAGGATTTAAATATCCCGGGCTTTATTTGCATCTTCCCGTCCGGGCGCCATTTTTAAACCCCCGACTCTCTCATTCAAGCAGCCCCTACTCACAAGAGTCATTTGAAATCAAAACTGTGGGCTCTTAGGGTATATCTACACTAGCCCCCTAGTTCGAACTAGGGAGGTTAATGTAGGCATTCGAAGTTGCAAATGAAGCCCAGGATTTAAATATCCCGGGCTTTATTTGCATCTTCCCGTCCGGGCGCCATTTTTAAACCCCCGTAGTCTGAACTAACTGGCCGCGGCTACACGTGGCAGTCAAACGTTAACTCGAACTAAGTCCTTCATTCGAGTTAACTGTTACACCTTATTCCACAAGGTGTAACAGTTAACTCGAATGAAGGACTTAGTTTGAGTTAACGTTTGACTGCCACGAGTAGCCGCGGCCAGTTAGTTAAGACTACAGGGGTTTAAAAACGGTGCCCGGACGGGAAGATGCAAATAAAGCCCGGGATATTTAAATCCTGGGCTTCATTTGCAACTTCGAATGCCTACATTAGCCTCCCTAGTTCGAACTAGGGGGCTAGAGTAGACATACCCATACCTATTAAATTTCAAGACTTTTACTAATAATTAGGGTTTTTTTTATCCCTTCTCAGGTGAGGAGAAGAAGAAGAAATACATCCAAAATATAATAAGGGAGAAACATTTATTAGGGGATCAGCTCTGAAGTGGTCCTAATCTCGTCTTTGTTGTTAAATAGCTCTTAGAGGAATTGGCTTAAATTTGCACAGGGCTGAAGTTTGGCCTCAATACAGTTTCACAAATCGACATGTGATTTCTTTTGTTTGCAAGTAAATAAAGGGTCTAATTAGGGTTGCCACTCATCCAGCTTTACCTGGAGACTCTGTTTTATAGCTTCTGAGTCATTTACAGTTGCCAGGTGCCTGGCTTTTGATCGGAAAGTGCAGTTGTAAAGGGACCTGGCAATCGTAAATGGCACACAAACCAGTTAGGGGGTGGCTCCACCTGAGCATGGGCTGGTGCAAATTAATGGCGCAGTTGCTGTGGGGCGGGAGGAGGCGCCGAACCATTAACTCGCACCAGTTCCTGCTCAGTGGGGACCACATCCTACCTGTGGGAAGCTCCTTGGGTCATGCTGGTTCCCAGAGTCAAGATCTGTATTTTTTTTCATGGGTGTGCGTGGACTCAGCAATGGCGGGGCACATTGTTCCTGCTCATGGCCGGGCTAATCTCCAGTGGACATACATTTATGTTGTCTTAGTGGAGAATAATACTGCTAATGCGACCACTGACGTCAGTGGAAAACCTCCCATTAGCATAATGGTCAAGTTGTACATGCATATACCCATCTATGGTGTACTGAAGTGGCGTTTGAGCCATACACAATACAAGACTAATGGGCAAAAGGCTGGAGTAAAGGATCAAATAAATATTAAATAAAAAAAACTGCTAAAATACTTTAACTAAAGAAAATTATTCTGTCCATTAAAGAGCTTTGACAAAAAAGAAACAAGATTTTTGCATGTAGTATAAGGACCTGCCTCCTTCCATGTATAGTAGTTTATTTGAGTGAAAATACTTAATAAAGAAATAGTTAAATAAGAAAATTATGCTGGTTTAACGCACCTTAACATTTACATTTTAAAATCTATAGGACAGAAATCTCTGCAATCAATTATAGAGTTTTCTTTTTTACACCTCTGTTTAGTTCTATGTAACTGCCCCAAAAGAAAGAATGAATCGTGGATAATTTGAATTAATCTGTTAAGGGCTTAAACTAGTAGTCATTACTCAGGCAAATCTCCAACTTGAATTAAATCCAACTTTTGCCTGATTAAGGAGTTGCAGGATTACGCCAGCAATGGGAAAATAGAAGGTTTTTTTTTTTAATTAAAACATATTTTATCAAGTGATAAGCTGAAAACTTTATTGTTTTGATATTTATGGTTAGAAGTGGGTAGATGGTATTAGGAGTTACCTACTATCCTTTATAGATGCTTTACCAGATCAAACATTTTAAATTTACAACAAGCACATTTTCTACAAAACATATTACAAAGGGGAAAAAAAGTCTTAAAAACTACTGCGAAAAAGTAATCAAATCATGACATTTTCCAAGGAAATAAAAATAGTATGCGTTATTACTATCCCCTTTTTTAATGAACTCAGTTGATCCAACTGGTATAAATACATGATTGCAATATCATCCCAGAATGGAAAGATCTGTAACTCTGTTAAAAGGAATGCAGAGGATAGGACACTGCATTATGTACGATACACACTAAATGCGTTGCTACATAGATTTATGTTAAGAAAGAGTACAGAAGAGATGAGTGTTTTCATAAACACAGATGGATAACTGGTATAATACAAAAAGGCAGAAGTTGTTGAGGCCAATTGTGTTCTCAGTTAGATCTGTGCAAGTCTAACAGATTGCAACAGAATTGCTCAGGTGTTACTGAGAGCAGAATTCAGTCTCCTGGCGTCGTTACATTGCACTTTGAATGTCATTGGTTTGCAAGTTAATTTAGTGTTGCATTAGAAAAGGGAAGACAGTTTCTGTTTTTAATGAATAAAATGACAAAATAATTCAGTTGTAAGCCTGTTTAAATTACCCACTGTAAACAAACAAAAGGGAGCTGTTTTTAAACAAATCAGAATAAGTACAATGCGGCATGCGGGTGTAGATCTCGCTCAAAAAGTACTGCTGGAATCTCTGATACACAGATCTAAAGGTCACTGAATAATGGAACGCAAAACACACTAGGTCCTGAAACCCTGATACCACCAATCTTGTTGTCTTTGAGCATGTATGCTCCCTTTTATTTCAACACGAATTCTACGTGTTAAAGAGTGACATGAGTGGAGCCATAATGACCTCAATGTCAGACACATGTTTTTCAAATGTTCTGAAGAACTCTAGTTAAGATGAAAGATTGGTCAAATGTCCTATTGACAATTCAGGACAGTTTGAAACCTGCTAAACGATTACATCTGACTCTTCCAAGAGGTAAGCTGATTTCAGTGGGATTTCTTACGTGAGTTAAATCCTGTGCATTGTAAAGTCTATGCCAGCTGGTATCATGCTATTCAGTGGGTCTGTTCACTACTAGGGAGTTATATGGTGACCAAGGAAATTGGGCACTCAATTCTCAAGGAAATTCAGTGGGATTTGGAAGCAAAACTCCTTTGAAAATTTAGTTCATTTTTAAAAAGGGAAGTTAGGTCTACTTGTGGCCTGATTTTATCAGCTATATGGAGCCAAAATTCCCAATGGCATTGGTCTTCACAAAGACAAAGGTTACTTACTGTGTTGTGCTTGATCATACGTAGGGCGAATTTACAGATGCTAAAAATACAGTGTTTTTCTTAAGAAGTGGAAAAGGAACAGGTGTAGTCTAGACTTTGACCTCATATTGCAGTTTTTCAGTTATTTTAAGTATTCTGTGAAATGCATCAAATTTGAATTATGGCCTGTACATGTCTAAAGGTCAAAGACAATTCAACTCAGAATTTTTTTGGGGGGAGGAGGTAGGGGGATCACTAAATAATAGAGAACCAATTCTGAGGGTTTGGGTTAAATAACAGACATTTAATTCAACCTCACCCTAAGGGAAGGAGAACTAACACCTTAAATGATCGGGCCATTAATTTTTTTTTTAAATGGAGATTACCTATCTCCTAGAACTAGAAGGGACCTTGAAAGGTCATCAAGTCCAGTCCCCTGCATTCACAGCAGGATCAAGTACCATCTGACAACTTTTTGCCCCAAATCCCTAAACCAGCAAGGATTGAACTCACAACCCTGGGTTTAGCAGGCCAACGCTCAAACCACTGAGCTATCCCTTCCCCCAATGCCTCCACTCTGCTTTATGGAAAGGACAGTTTTGTAGCTACACTATTAGGCTAACTCCTGTAATCCTCACACCACTCTTGCCAGCTAAATTCCCACTGCTCTATGTCCTCACCCTTTCTTATTAAAGAAAAACTTCCACGGAAATCAAATGATTTCCAAGGCAGTGGCATGTGCTCAATATTGAGGATTTGGCCCATACATTCAATGGGAATTTTGTTTCAATAAAGAGCAGGTGAGAGCCTCATTATTTATCCCATTAATCTTAGTGGCCTTTAAAGGGAGTTTCTCTCTTGACTTGAATGAGGTTTGGACCAGCTCTTACAAATTATATATTAGGAAATCTTACATTAGCAAATTTCACTTAAAAAGCCCATCCAGTGCAAATTTTGTGTCACGCTTGTGCTTCTGGGGCTTGACCCTGCAAGGCGCTGAGTGGTCCTAACTCCCATTGACTTAGATGAGATTTGGGAATACCCAGCAGGATGCAGGAGCTGACCAGTAAGGATCTGAACTTAAGCACCTGCAACTCGCATTGACATTAATGAAAGTTGAGAGTGCTTGGCATCCCTCAGGCGCTATCCAGGCTGCACAGCTGATCAGTTCGCAAGGTGGAATGAAGACTGTCTGGGAACTCCCTTTATTTGTTTGTACACAGCTCATGATGCTCCTAAAGCACTTAAATCAAAATAAAAACATCCAATAAATTAAAATTAAAGAAGCATGTTCAACAAAAACCCCACTGTGATGAAAAGCACATGCCAAGAGCTGGCTGATATGCATGACAACAAATGGTAACGTGGTTGTACAACACGGCTATATTAAGAAGCAGATTCATGCAGTTAGCACTTGTTCACCTGACTGCCCAACAGAATCAGCAGTGGAGAGAGCACTAGTGGACCTGGAATGACGTCGAGAAGCTGCAAGTAAAAGGAATGGCAACACCCACAGGATTAACACACAAGTACCCAACACACAAAATGCCACTGTTCAAAAGGGATGTACACGATTACTACCAACATGGGTGTTTTGTAGTGAAAGGAAATGCCATTGTGTATGAATGCACAACAAGAACAGTGCAAGCCCCAAGGCAAAATCTCCATCAGCAGCTTCCTCCTTTCCCCCACAACCACAAACACAATGTGTGACAAACAAATACGTTGTTTTTAAGAGTACCAAACTGTGTGCAGTTCAGCAAAGACTGATGAGTGCCAGTCATGCTCCAGAACCACAGATCCTAAAAACAGCTGGTATGAGAATGGGGAACATTTAACCTGAAACAGGATTTAGATGGGATCAATCTAAATCGCAAAGTGAAGCCAAGAGGAATGATTAGAAACTGTGCTTGCAATGTCAGTTGTCACAAAAGTGTAAGGAGTCATACAGGGAAATAAATAAGCCACTGGGCATAGCCCTTTTGTTAAATATTTTAGTTTTATAAACACACACATATATACAAAAGCCATCGTGGCTATGACAGTTCTATTGCTGTAACACTTTTGTAAATAGTTGTTGTGTTTATATCAATATATTATATGCATATGTGCATAGAGAAAGAGTGCAATACGTATATATACACACACCACCTTTATATAGTAGCTAAGGCTGCAGTGAAGATTGGAGTCCATCTTCCATTTTAGCCCGATTTTCAATGGATCATAACTTCAAATTCCTTCAGAGCAAAATTTTCCCATTCTTAGTTTCAGCACAAAGGTCATTTGTTTTGGAACGTTGGAAAAAATTGGTTCAGCCATTTCTAAATTATTCAAGTGTTTTTAAAGAGTTTTCTCCATATGTCTAGCAATTTTGTGCTCACATAACTCAAAAACACTAAAGTAAAGGCTTGGTTTTGCACTCGGCTCATGTGAGTCATCCTCAGTCAATACAACAGTCCTCCTGAACTCTATACTTTGCTTGTCGCTATTAATAGTGGAAGCAAGCTACATTTGAACAAGGTTCAGAATTTATAAGTTATACAGGCCCGTCTGCACTGTAAGTCCAAGATACAGTCCCAAAAAATTGGACTTGCAGTGAAACAACCTAAAGTGGGGAATGTTTTTTCCCATGGCTGACTTCCATTTGTGCAATTTATTTATTTATTTTTTGGTGTGACTGAAGAGCGAGGAATGGGAGCACTTGTAACACATCAATTCCTACAAGCGTCAACAACTTTAATGCAGAATGGATGTATTCCGGGGTGACTTATAGCAGGGACGGATTCCTACAAGCGTCAACAACTTTAATGAAGAATGGATGTATTCCGAGGCGACTTATAGCAGGGACGTCCTGTATACATATTGTCAATGGTGCACATATATGCACATTACAAGAACTCAAAGGATTTTTCTGTTTAATGACAAAACATTTGTAAATACATTAAAATTACATACAAAACATGAGAACAATACATAAAAAATTAGTTTCTCACAGCAGTGGGCTAGAAGATATTCAGGGTGTGCAATGCAATCTATAAAAACGGAGTCCAAAGCCCCATACATTTATTTAAGTGAGAATGGATATAAAAAATGACTCTGGAAAGGAAAGTTTATAGGATCAGTAAGAGTGTTAGATATTAAGCTTCACAAGGAAGACCCTTCCTGTGCATGCATATGGATCTCCCTGTGGGACCAAGGACCAAGAAGAAACAGAGGAATACAAAATACCTATACTTGGCCACGTCGCTCAAGGTTACATTACTGTTGGAACTTCATCATCTGTATTCCCTGCTTTAGAACCTAGCTCTGCAACTTGCTCGGTGCAGGCAAATGTTTACATCTGCACATGGCTCTGGTGACATCCTGGGGGGCCACATGCTGCCTCTAGAAGGGTCAGATTTTTAGTGTGATCATGACCAGAACATTAGGTTACCCTAAGTCCAGTGGCATACAAGCTAATCTTTACCAATGTGAGTAAAACTACATCCACGGTTATGATCCTCGCTGTAACCACCAACCTCTAGAGTGACAGTGTCTTTACTCGGTGTTAGCCCTCTTACACAAAAAGCCTGTTAGCAATTCAAACACTCTTCTCTGGGCTATACCAGACCTGTCTGCCTGCAGAATTGAGAACAGTTGCACTCCAGCTCCTGCGTCCTTTCAAAGTGCCCCCTATGGTACCCGGCCCATAATCATGGGATACCCAGAGAAATCCCAGATCATTTGTTCCCAAAACAAAAGTCTGCCACAATTGACCAGTTTTATCTCAGATCACTGCTCCTGTAAAAGGCACAGCACTTGAATTCAATTATAAACAAATGGAAATGTAAGCAAGAAAGAATAAAGATTGAAATAAAAACCAGTGTAAGATAAGAAACAGTTACATGTAAAACTACACCATGGCACGCATTCCAAAGTCACTTGCTCCTGGTGGAATTCTGCAGCACTGCTCCAGCTCCAAAAGCCTAAACTTAGTGAACAATTATTCTCCTGTCTAAAGAAGCTTCTCTCCAAAACTTCTCTCTGGTGATTTCAGCCAAGTCTTTTGTTCCCTTTTTTATGGAACAAGCTCACTGTCTGCTTACTTCCTATGTGAAGGGTGCACCTCTAAATATACAAGAACAGACCTTTGATGTACATCCCAAGATAGGGCTCCTCCCCACACCTGCTGCTTGCTTTTCCCTGGTAGATTTGCTGGCTGTCGAACCATGCAAATCCACAGGCCTTTCCCCCCCTTCCTTGAGGCCACACTCCTGTCCCACCCTTCATCTGAGACTCAGTCCCACCCACTCCATCCCCTTCCCTCCATCACTTGCTCTTCCCCACCCCCCCACCCTCGCTCACTTTCACTATGCTGGGGAAGTGGGATGGAGTACAGACTCTGGGAGGGAGTCTTGGGGTGGGAGGGGGTGCAGGGTTAGGCTTGGGGGGGGGGGAGTTGGGTGCAGGCTCTG